TTAATCATCATTTAAGCTTTACGTGCTATCCCTGAAGCCAGTGCACTTAGAGTCTATAAAAACAATTGAGGGTCAATAAAAAATTCACTATTCTGAGTTGCTTATTGCTAAGACACTGTCAGTGCTGTGACCAAGGGAGGCCCCTCTCACACTCAGATAGCAGAGTGAGGCTTTTACATAACCAGAATATTCAGAGCAGAAACAACAGAGCTCTCACTTAAAGGCTCTGTGTTCAGTGGCAGTGACAAAGGGTGCATCTTCTCAAGGAACTCGAGGGCTTTTTCACATAAAGCCTGCAGGGTCAGGTACACAGTGGGCTGGGCTGGAGTTCATGGGGCCAGGGGTGCATCCCTGGGCACACTGGTCCCCCACACTGCCCCTGTCCACCTCCCAGCTGAGGAGCCACAGTGGCCACAAGCTGCTTCTCCAGCACATCAGTGCCCTGCTCCCTCAGCCAGTGCCACAGCAGCCAGTGGTGCTCCAGCAGCCGAGCTGGGAACCAGTGAGATGAAGGGACACGGCTCTGGAACCCTTCCCAGCACCAGTTCTGCCAAAGGCTCCACGGGAACAGCCTGGCTCAGGAAACACCTCTGGCCATGCCAGCACAGCGTGGAAGCAGGCTGAGCAGCAGGGTACAGCCTCACCACTGAGGAAACCACACAAAAGGAAACGTCACCTGAAATCTAACTGCAGCCATCTACAACAGACACTGCAACAACAACTCAGCACTGCCATTAGTTCCAAAGTTTATGGTTTGCTTCAAATGCAAAGTAGAGAAATCCAGCCCTGGACTCCCACTTCACTGCTGTCACCAAGTCTGGGGAGGGAAGGAAAATCACGGCCCTTTTCCTCCCCAATAAATCCTGCTGATCATGAGCAATACCATCTTCATCTTGAGGCCTCTGCAGCCCCATCTCATGGATCTGTTAACATGACACTGACTATCGGGAAGGAGACACCCTCAAGGGAGATCATTCCAGAGCAACAAATCCAGCAGGAACATGTAAACACGAGGCACAAAAGCCAAGCTCCCATATGCCTCAGTCTGAAACAGTTTGCACGAACAGGGAGTTTATCCACCACAGCACGAGCTGCACTTCACCCCAGCACCACTGTGGCAAATCCTGGCTTATTCCTTACCATGATGTCAGATCCAGTGCAGGGGAGCCTGTGTTTTACAGGAATTCATCCTATCCATAGGAACCATTTCCATCACACTCAGAACTGGGCTTGTTTCCCTTTCCCCAAAGTGTGTCTCAGTAAAGCGAAGCACCACACAGGCTCCTGAGGTCCTGAAATTCTTCAGGATTTATTCCTCAGGCACAAGGCTTTGCCCAGCACAGCACACAAAAACTAAGATGAAAGGTTAGGCTGCAGTGACTACATGCAGAATTATTTATCTTGAGGCATATGGAATTGTATCTCACACATTGAGATATTTTCAGGAACATAAGATCCTTTTGACAATTTCTAAGGCATGACAAAATGTCATCTCAGTAGGAAGCTTCTAATTCCAATTGACTCAATGACAAGTCACAGAAGTTAAATAGAACTTGAAAACAGAAGAATGCTGAACTGCAGAGAGCAGCCTCACATATGCTTTTTTCCCCTCTAATTTTTAACCTCTTTTCCCCCTAATATTTTTAAGTATAAAAAGACACTCTTAAAGGATCGTTTTTCTGAAGTTCCATTTTTTATTCAAGCAAACAAGATCCAAGGAGCTGCAGTTTTGCTTCCATCCAAGGACACTGAGAAAGCAAAATATTTGTGGATTTGCGTGGGCAATATCTGACTCTCAAGAAACCCAAACTGAAACAAACAAGAGGTACACTTCATTCACAAATATTTTCCGCTACAAAGGGCTGCAAGTTTATATATACACTGATATTTAGAGATTGCATGAAAGCATCTAAGCTTCTAGGAGCCTTATTTCACAGAACTGCAAAGGGGCTAAGGTTGGCACGAGCCTCTGGAGGTCACCTGGCCCACTCCCTGCTTAAGCCAGAGCTGGCTGCCCGGGCCTGGATCCCGATGGTCCCAAAGAGCCTCAAGGAGGGAGCTCCAACACCCTCTGGGCAGCCTGGCCCAGTGAAAAATTGGCAGGATATGAATCTGATTTACAACTAATTCAAAGTAATTAATATAAAACACTTTGCAGTTCAGGTTTATAAGAAGGCTGCTCTATGAACACAATACGGTCCGCCATAGCAAGCTGCAATGGTTGGCTCATCCCCTGTGACTCAGTGATCCCCAAATCCCCAACCTGCCAAGCGTTCCAAGACCTGTTAAGAGTCCTGGGGCAAAGGGGACAATGTCCCCGTGGAGGGCAGCCCTGTGAAGCACAGCTACCCGCAGGGATGAGGGCAGCCCCTGCGCTGCAGACACGCCGGCACACGCGCAGCCCAGGCCTGCTCCACGCCTACCACACACATCAGCTGTGCGAGCAGCAGGGAAGCCTGCGCCTCTGCTCTGTACCACACACTGCTGCTTCTCTCTCTGGAGAGCCACTCAGCAAGTCCAGCTTGCATGTAAATCACTGCATTTTCCAATCAGCAAATGTGCCAGGAGTGGAAGCACTGCACAAGGCCACTCAAAGCCCTCCAAAACCCCTCTACAACAGATCTGCAAACTGCATTTCAATCCCAGGCAGGAACAAAGGAAATGAATAGGCTGAATATGTCCACATATGCAACTCAGCCTCTCACAGCTAACAAAGCTCTGCTTTCCAAAAAATCATGAGCCAAGTCCAAGCCAATGCTAGTGGGAAGTCGTTACCCACACAAGCCAGCATGCAGAGAACTGTCAACACACCTTCCTCAGCCCTCTTGAGCTTTACTAGAGCTTTCTTACAGGCACCTTCCTGAAAGAGACCATCCTCCCCCCTCCATGCTCTCCTTTGCCCATTACTAGAGATTCAACAGCAGGTCAAGCTCTCAGGGTCATGAAACTACAGCTCAACAGGCTGTGAGTATCACACCTGCACCCTTCTCCATGCCACCCCTCCCTCAGTCCCCTTTCCCTTTCTTCCATCCTATTTCCATTTGTGGACTCCTGCTATAGTTTTAGATGGTCACTGTTCTTCCTGAGAAGTGTCCAGCATCAGCGACTGCACAGCAAAGCAGGAAACAAAGCACAGTCTCCTGTCCCTCAGTCAGTGTGGCTGTGCTCATCACTGCAGCTGTGATATTGGTCACTGCTGAGAGACCAGAGTGTTTCTTTTCCCAGCAGCTCGCTCCTTTTCCAACAGCTTAGTTCTACCTCGGGAGATGAGTGACAAACAGATCTCCTTGCCCCCTGCTCCACGGGCAAGCTCCCCAGTACCAGCTGGGGCAGAGTATCATAGCAGGAACAGCCCCTACTCTCCCGACATCCCTCCATCTCCAAGCCAAGGTGAGAGCAGCCAGCAGATTTCTGCCTGTATCCGTTTCTCTTTAGCATTCTGTGCAAGTAGCAGCATATGCCGAGGCAGGGACAAAAGACACAGTGAGCGCACGCACAACAGCAAAGGCAGCAGCCAAGCTCCAGCGTGATGTTCTCAGCCACCTCCCTGAGACCTGGCAGGGTGGCTCCAGCTTCCCTTTTCCTCACAGATCACACCTACTAATATAAGCACAAAAGCACCTCCAACCAAATGTTTTGGAATGCCCATGTTGGGACAGCAAAGCCCACTGCCTTCAGCCGTCCCTCAGCCTGCGTAAAGCCCCCAGCAGCCCAGGAGCAGGCAGGATTCCCGCAGGCCTTCTGGCAGCCCCGGGGCAAGCAGGGCCCTGCAGATGGCTCGGCAGTGGGCCCGGCTACCTGCAGGGTCAGGCAATGCACCGGAGCTGACCAAAGCTGCTTGGGGACAGATGCCAGGCACCGCTGTGCTTACACCAAGGCTTATAGAAACAGCCCAGGAAGATTCTCCTTTGCTGTTGTGCTCGCCATCGACATCACCCAAGGCTCCTGTGACACCCTCTCCTCTCCCCTAATTTCACACACAGGCACAGCATTTGCAATCCCTCAGCTCTCAGCTTTACAATTTAACAAAAACAGAATGACAGCCCCTCTCACCAAAATACCCACGCCTGCCCAGGAACCTCCTTCCCAAAGAGAACGAAACGTTACAGCCATGCAGACTCGGTGCCTCTGAAACACACCACGTAAGAAACATTGTCTATCAGCTTCACAAGGCAGATGTTTTTAATGTTAGTTTCTTCTACACCACAAACAGACTGACACATCACCCGTTGTGTTCAGTCCCACAAAACCGGAAGCAATACTGCTGCAATTACTATTCACTCCTGTAAAAATAAAAGCAATACGTGCACTCTAACAGCGATACCCTGAAACCACAGCCCAGTAATGCAGCCTTGCCCATTGCTGATGCTCTATGACACTGGCTCCTAAGAAAAGAAGCACCCGACCAAGGCAATGAAACAAAAAGGACATTAAATAAGATTTTTAACGTTTACCTAAAGTAAACCACACCGTTCTCCTCATGCCTGTATGATTTGTTTGGTTCTGCAGAAAACATCGGCTGATAAAGCCGGCACACGGTGATTACTTATCGCGGGTCCTACCCCGCTTATCAGCTCCATCTGCATTGGGGCCAGGCTGTGTCTGACACAGTATTCGGCTCACCGGCCCGGCGGCCGCTCCGCTCCGGCCCCGCTGCCGCTCCCTGGGGACACGGGCAGCGCTGCGGGGAGGAGGCGGCGAGGGGCGGCCGCCCCCGCCCGCAACACCGCCGGCCGTGGCTCTTTGTTCGCCGCCGGCCCGGCCGAGGCACCCGCGGGCTCTGGGCGGCCGCACCTGTCTGAGGTGCGGACAGCGCTCCCCGGGCCGGGCCGCCCCTGGGCAAGTGACCGCCGCGGGAGGGGCGCGGAGCCCTGAGGGGCGGCCAACGCTTGCCCTCACGGACCGACCGGCGACCTTCGCCCAGCTCCCGAACCTCAGCCGCGGCTACCGCCGACGGGGCTCCGGCACACCCCGAACCTAGCCCGTCCGCACCGACCCACCTCGTCTTCCGAGAGCCCGTACACTGGTTCCGCCGCCGCGGTCGCCATGGAGCCGCTCCCGGGCCCGCCGAGCCTCCCACCACCACCTTCTCCTCCTCCTCCGCCTGCTGCCGCTTCTGCCGCCGCTGGCCCGCGGGCGGCGGAAGGCGCCGGGAGCCAAGCCCGGCGGAAAGGGGCCGGGGGCGGGGCCGCCCGCGCTGCCGCCGCCGCCGCGGGCCGGGGCTGAGCACGGCCGCAGGGACGGGGAGCGCCGGCGGGGCGGGGAGAGCGCCGAGCCGGCCCAGCGGCGGCGGGCGGGGCGCGGCACAATGTGCGGGAGGAGCCCCGCTCCGCGCCCGCACCGCCCTCAGTGACGGGCGTGAGGGGACGCGAGGGACGGGCTTGAGGGGGCGCGAGAGGGGGCGCGCGGACAAGGGGGTAAAAAGGGAGGGAAGAAGTGGGCGCGCGAGGGATGGGTGCGCTCGCGGGGGGCGCGCGGGGGCAGCGGGCGCGTGTGGCAGGCGCGTCCCCCAGTGGGCGGGAGTGGCACGGCCGGGCCTGTCCCGGGATGTGTCCCCGCGCGGGACCGGGCCTGTCCCGGGATGTGTGTCCCCGCGCGGGACCGGGCCGGGGAGGCGCAGGAGGGAAGTCCCCGCTGTCCGCGGCTCTCCGCAGCAGTCGGAGCTGGTCTCTCAGTGTGTCATTTCTCCCCTCGCCATCACGGGTTTTAGGGAAACAAAACACTGTAGACACTTGGAGTGACTCCTGAGCAAAATCAAGTCCCGCATTAGCTCTAAATGAGCTTTTGATTTGTTTTCTGGCCCTGAGCTGGCTCTGCCCCAGCCGTGCCCCTCCCTATGCTAATCTCCATTTATGATCTCTCGGTATCTCCTGGCAGTACGTGGTTCTTAAGTGCAGGCTATTGAGGGAGTACCATGGCAGCGGTGCCTAGACACGTTTATGCAATGTGTTAGCAAAGGCACGTGGGGCTGCTGGCAGGGGACACATCTGTCACCACACAAGGCTCTTCTGGGCACTGATGTCAAGTGCCACTGGCTCTGGCTTCAGCAGCCTGCCTCTGTGTGCTCAGGTACCTTGTACCTGTTTCTGTTCCACAGAGCCCAGCAAAAAGGGAAAAAGGAGATCCCTTTTTCTGGAGAGATTGCACAGCAGTCTGTAGGCCAAAAAGCGTTTTTCCAGCCTTTCCAAAGCCCTTTTGGGGCTGGAAGGATGTGACCTCTGCCCAGATAGCAGTGCCTCGGAGCTGAGCATGAACTGTTAAAGTCCAGCCTGGGGAGACATCAGCCTTTGTACTGCCACGGGTCCCTCCTGGCCATAAACCACACGTGGTGCAGGCAGGGCTGGGCTGGGCAGGGGCTTCTCCAGCACCAAACTGGGCTGTGTGCCCAAACCCTGGCATGGCGAGTCCTCCGGAGCACCAGGCTCCTTCCACAGGCCTCTTGCCAACACAGATTCGGTTTTATTCCTCTTTGTTCTGAGCTCAGCAGATCATTCCCAGCTCTGGGTGTAGCTTTGTCCCCCTGCTTTTCACTCACCTACTTGGTTGCTTTGAGAGAAGCATCTTCACCACCTCCCTGGATACCACGGAAACCAGGATTTCAGGAGTCCTTTCATTCAGTCCATAAACACATCTCAGTTCTTTGTCTCCATATCTTTCTGTGCTGACACCGAGGGTTGGAAACCATCAGGACCTTGGCAGGTTTCTTTTCAAGAATATTTCTGTTTCTGAATTACAGAATGAAAAAGAAACAGTGTAATTCAACAGCTGTAAGTGAACTGTAATCCCAGCTTGGTAAGGATGGATACATGGATACCTCAGAATCCAGATCTTTTCTGCAGCACATGGCCATGTCCCTCTGGAATCATATCCATGGCTTTTTCCTTGCACCTCACAGCACCTTGGTTGCTGGTGGTGTACAGTCAGCCAGCATTCTCACCAACAGGTGCTCCCCAGGGAAAAATACACCTGTACAGGAGCAGAATGAAAGGATCTCTGAGGCCAGAGCAGAAAATTAGTGCCACTAATAACTCCGTTGGATTGCAAAGCTTTAGCATTGAATCCAGGCTGAAGATTACTTGTTTGTTTGCCTGTGCATGCTACATGCATAATTCCTCTTTGGAATTGTGTTTACAATAATAGATGGCCCTGGAGAGATGTAATTCATGTGATAATGCTGACATCAGAAATCTCCAGGTGCCGCTTGGATGATTTATTACTGGCCTCTTTATCGAACCAAGCCCATGAATTATTTACAATTTTCTGAGGAAAATAGATTTAGTATGTCTTAGGGCTGGCAATTCTCCATGAGAGCTGAGGCTGCCTCCACCTGTGCAGAACAAGAAGCAGTGGGGAATGGGAGGAGGCAGCACCCCTGTGAGTGCTGCATGCCCTGCTCATAGCTGGGTGGCACCCAGGCAGGGGGCAGGACAGTGGGGAGCAGTGGCTTGCTGGGCCAGATCTGTGACTGCTTCACTGCTTCCCTAGAAATTCCTGATATAAAAATGTTACCTGAACGCTGCTGTGTGTTTCACAAGGAATCTTCAGGAACTGCTGGTAAAACAGCCAGTGAAACACTGAAAGCTCAGCTATCCCCACTCCTTGCAGCCATTCTGCACTGCCAAAGCTCAGCCATTTCCAGTATTTGTGGCTGTTCTTTGTTTCCCTGTTGGACTTAACTGTACCAGCTGTTACCCAAATACTGGGAGATGCTACTTAGAAGGTCGCTATAACATGCCAGTGGAGAGACTTTACACTGTAAATCCCGTATACTTTTAATCATCTACTGACAGCAGACACAAAGAGAATCCAAATAAACCATGATCTTCCCAAATACAGATGGTTTGGATTTTAGAGAATTGGCTTGAACAGATTAATAGAGCCCCGACCTAAGCAGAAAATGCTCTTTAGGAAATGAGCTGGATGCTTCCAGCTCACCAAACAGCATTATGAGAGCAAACTGCTGCCAGAAGCTGCCCAGAATGACTTGCTTTTTGCTGTTCAATTTATTATTTATTTTTTCTCAACAGCTCTGGTGAAATATAAAATGAGAGTGCAGAGGTGAAAATCACCCAGGCAAGGCTCTCTTTGGTTTGATGTGGCACCAGCTGCACATGGAGTTAGGTAATTCCTGTCTTTTAAATGATTATTGTACTTCAGTGACTGCCAAGGGGTATTTAGCATGTTCTATTCACACTGTATTACTCATTCCAGTGGACTTAACAAATCATAAAAGTAGTAGTGGCAAGGTACAAATTTTATCTGATCGGTTTTTCCGTCGTGGTTTAAAACAGGATTTCATTATTTCTGCAGAGGAGGAAATAAAATCTGCATCACAGTGGGCCAAAATGAGGCTGTGTACTGGCACACCTCAGCATCATTCAATATTTAATGGTGTTACTTAACAATGTTTTGCTGAAAAAAGGCTTTTCCTACTGCAAAGCTTCTGTCTGGTGATGATTTTTCTCCTTTCTTCTGGAAAAATGTCGTAAGAAATGTTAATATTTTATCAGATTGCTGTTGGAGTAACATAATTGCCTGTGTTCTCAGTATATACTTTCCTTGAAGCATTATTGAAGTGGCTGGGGACTCAGCATGGTTCAGAACACAGAAAACTAGTAAAAGATTAACTATTTTAGAACATGTCAGTATTTTATAATGTATTATTGGGAATGCCATAGAAAACTCATCAAAGCTAGAAGCCAAGTTGAATCAAGCTCCCACAAACATAAATTGTTAATTGTTGCTCAGTTCCCAGTGACAATATAACACTGCAGGCATGAGCAGGAAAAGGAGAAGTCAAGAGAAGCCCTGTGTTTGTGTCAGTAATTTACAGTAGTTTACAGGAAAGGAAAAACCCAACATTTTGGGGCTATTTAAAGAGTAATAATAGAATTGCACGAGGTGTGGTGCCACAAGGTTTTGGACAGGGACTGCTAATTGTTCTGGAAGGCCTTTGATATAGTCAGTGGCCTGCTTTCCAGACAATTCCTTGCAGCTCCCCATCTCCCACAGCATGGAAGTGCTCTGGATAGTGTGGGAGCAGAGGGGCCAGGTCCCCAGGGAGCAGGGCCACTGGCAGGGACCAGCTGGGCAGTGCTGCCACAGAGCAGGGCTTTTTTTCCAGCTCAATACTTAACCTGAGGACGTTTTACCTTGCTTAGCCCATGAGCAATCTAAATACCATGAGATTTGTTCTGCAGACTGTTTCTTTCACTTGAATTTCACATTCTGTCTGTGTTAATAACCCTGGGTTTGTTGGAATGCTTGTGGTACTGAGAATCACAGGCAGACATCCCTGGGGAGGACAGCAAAAGAGAGAAAGAGGAAAAATTAAATGAAGCCTGAAGCACTTATGGAGGTAAATTTGCTCAGATCTACACTGTGTCACTGAGCAGTGTGTGAGTCCCAGCTCTGTGTGACAGTCTCTGTCTGGGTGAGTGGCAGGGAGGGAGAGCATCCAACAGACCTGGGGTTGAGGGCTGGGGACAGAGTCAGGCACAGGAGCTTTCCACAGCCTCCATGGGAATACCGGTGCTCAGGTGAGTCACATGGGCCTGAGTCAGGCCCAGAGCCTCTAATCTCTGGGGCATCTCCCGAGCAATGCTGTCTCTCCTGTTCCACCACAGCACAGGCCACTGCAGGGACAGGAGCTCTCCCTCTGCTCCCTGGGCTGCTCACGCCTTGAGGGAGGAAAAACCCCAGACCTAAAAGACTGGTGTTATTAACATTCAGGCTCATCTTGCTTGGTCTCATGTCTCTGCAACTGGCCAGAGTGGAAAATTACCTCCTTCTGTTGGCCTCTCTATAATTCTATGTAATTTGATTTCTCCTGGTTCTTATATTACGGTGCATAGGGAGTAAGTATCAGCTGTCCATCTTCTCCAGAGATTTGTGCTTTTACAGACCCATAACCCTCTCCTTCAGTCTCTTTCCTGCTGTGAATCTGTAGCACACTCAGTCCCTCCAAGATCCACAGCTGTCCTTAACCTGTGAGATTTCCAACAATCCATTTCATTTCTAAGCAGTGCCTTTGCAATCCTCACCCTCTTTTCCC